AAGGGCCAGAGGATGGAATATTATGAACTAAATTTTGTCTCCCCAGATTCATATATTGAATCCCCCAAGGTGCTATATTTGGAGACACGGCCTTTAAGGAGATAATTAGGGGTAAATGAGGACATAAGAGTTGGGACCTAATCTGACATGACCGGTGTTTTCATTTTTTATTTATTTAAATATTTTAATGTTTATTCATTTTTTAGACACAGAGAGACAGAGTGTGAGCAGGGGAGGGGCAGGAGAGAGGGAGACACAAAATCAGAAGCCGGCTCCAGGCTCTGAGCTGTCAGCACAGAGCCCGATGAGGGGCTCAAACCCACAAACCGTGAGATCAAGACCTGAGTGAAAGTCACACAGGTTCCCCATGACTGGTGTTTTCATAAGAAGGGATGAGACACCAATGAGATCTGTTTGTCAACGCATGCATGCAGACAAAAGGTAATATGAGGAAACAGCGAAAATACAGCCATCAGCAAGCTAGGAAGTAAAGTTTCATCGGACATCAATTCTCTGGTAGTTTGACCTTGGATCACCAGTCCCCAAAACTGTGAGAAAATTAATTTCTATTATTTAGAAATACCACCCAGCTGGTGGTATTTTGAAATGGCAGCCTGAGAAGACTAATATAAATAAATCCCTTTGGGATTGGATTGAGGGAAGCAATATGGTTTATACTAGCCATGGTATTGAAGGGGTCTTCTCTCTGAGGACTTGCCTTTTTCTCTAAAAACTGGGTCCTGAGTCAGAAAACTGACTCAGCAGAAGTAGGACGAGGTAATAGTTTATAACTTTGGGGGAATGGTTCCCCTTAACCTAGTGATCACCCAGTTTTGATTTATTTTTATTGTAGGTGTTGAGCAAAACCCAGTGGTATGCTTGCAAGATCTGATTGCTAAATTTTCAGGATCTTGTGAGCCAATCATTAAATATAGTTGTCATTAAAACTTACATTATCAGGTGTCTAGGTGGCTCAGTTGGCTGAGCATCTGACTCCTGATTCTGGCTTAAGTCATGATCCCAGGGTCATGGTATTGAGCCCCAAATCGGGATTTGCACTAGGTCTTTTGGGGTGCCTGGGTGGCTCAGTCGGTTAAGCATCCAATTTCGGCTCAGGTCATGATTTTGCAGCTCGTGGGTTCCAGTCCCGCATTGGGTTCTGTGCTGACAGCTCAGAGCCTGGAGCCTGCTTTGGATTTTGTGTTTCCATCTCTCTATGCTCCTCCCCTGCTCACACTCTCTCTCTCTCTCTCTCTGAAAAATAAACATTAAATAAACATAAAAAATTTTTTTAAGTTAAAAAAACTTTTAAAAGATCCTCTCTCTCACTTCCTCTTTCTCCCACTCATACTCTCTCAATGAAAGAAAAGAAAATAAGATAAGATAAAATAATACAGTATCTAAACCTAAAATTAAATAAATTAGATTTTAAAAAAGGTAATAGATACTTAGCATAAATCAATTTCTGGTTATTTTTTTTTTTTACTGTATTTTACCATTATCTACACATGAAGTTTTTTACGTCTCCTATGTCTATATAATAGAAATACTATATACCTATAAACTACTACATATCTCTTTTCAACTTTGGTGTTACATCACAGAAATCAGAATTATACAATCTTTTTTTTTCTTCTCTGTAGCACCGGGTTAAAGACCAGCACATAAGTAAAAATATCCTTTTTAGCTATCAATCTGTCTTGCCTCAGGAACATTTAACGTATCTATAACTTTCTCTTGGTCAGTAGTCTAGATGCTACTCCAAACTCAACCCTTATTACAATATTGTGACAACTTTGTTTTAGAGTTGAGCTATGCCATTTGACCTTTAAGACTCCAAGATCCTATCAGTCTCAATGCTGTCCATAAATCCAATTCTGTGAAGACATCTACTATTGTAATCTTGGCCTGGGAAGGAAAGCTTCAGTAAGCTTCTTCCTGATGCTTATGTTCTTCTTACATTCTTATCGCTTTAATAGGGTGCCCATAATACCATCCCATAGAGCATTTGGTGGATTTTCTGTCCATCCAGAGCATATCAACTATGGAATGCCAACTGCTCTAAGTACTGTTGTATTTTTATCTTCTCTTCAACTAACTCCCATAGCAATTCTGGCATTGTACTCTGCTTAGCATGAGCTGTTACTTTCTTCAATCTTCTTTGAGTTATTTCAGCAGTTTCTCAACACTGTCTCACAATATGTTGTCAACTTACTAAATTTTATGACTGAGAGAGGACCCCATTGTTGATAAACTCTCCCTCATCCAGCTTTGTGTTTCTCTCTTGGTCTAGCACCCTTGGAATCCAACCCCATTGTGTACTCTCTAGGTTGTCATTACATATTGTTAGGTCTGAATTTCTCCTGAGTATCAAGGTAACAGTTAATCTTAGTTATCGGCCTTACAGTCAGTAGGGGAAGGAAGGGATCTTCATAAGGAGGGTGTGTATTTTCTTTGATGACAGAGGATCCAGAATCATATTTAAGCAAGGATAAACTCTAGACTTTAACAATGGAGAATATGCCACTTTCAAAGGTCTACAGAACTCAACATTTACAGGGTTCTAGTTTTTTTTTAAGGTTTTTGAGAAAGATTTTGTGAAAAGACACTACAAATGGTGGAAAGTATTTGTGTGTGTGTGTGTGTGTGTGTGTGTCTGTGTGTGGCAAAGGAATTATTTCCATATTGTTTAAATACTATTTTACAACTCATTATATATATTTTATGGGATTATTTGCCTTCTTTTTAGTGAGCTGTAAGATATAATGGATATAAGATATATATCTTACACCTCACTAAAAAGAAGCAAATAATCCTGTAAAACTGGCGAAATATTTGAATAGAGAATTCACCAAAAAAATATATATTAATTGCCTTAAGCATATGGGAAAATGCTCAACAGGTCTTCAGAGATATGCAAACTAAAACTATATTTAGATATCACCACATACCTACTGGAATGATGAAAATGAAAAAGACGGACCAACCACATCAACTTTTGCTGTTGATATAGAGCAACTGCAACTGTTGTACGTTAATCGAGGGAATAGTACAAACTCCTTGGAAGATATTATACGTTTATAAAATTAACCACCTATTTTATTTTTAAGAACAGCTTTATTGAGGCATAATTTATATACAAAAAAACTACACGTATTTAATGTGTACAATTTGATGCGTTTGGACCTATGGAAACACCCATGATACCATTACCACAATCAAGGAAATAGACATATCCATCATCTCCCAGATTACATGTTGAGTGTTCTTATCACAAAAAAGAGGGAGAGATACAAATATATTTTCTATATGACCTAGGAATTCCACTACAAGGTATTTCCTTGAGGGGCACCTGGGTGGCTCAGTCAGTTAAGCATCTTACTCCTGATCTTGCCTGGGATCATGATCTCACGGTTTTGTGAGTTCAAGCCCCACATCGGGCTCTGGCCTGACAGCACAGAACCTGCTTGGGATTCTCTCTCTTCCTCTCTGTCTCTCCCTCTCTCTTTGCCCCTCCACCCCCTCTCTATCAAAATAAATAAATTAACATTAACAAAATTTTTTAAGGTATTTCCTTGAAAGATTAGAAAGTAAATGTCCACAAAAAGACTAACAGAAATATTTATGCTGCTTTTATTTATGATAGTCAAAATGTGGAAATAGCCATATGGAGTAATGGATAAGCAAATTATTATATATTCACACAATGAAATTCTCCTCAACAATGAAAAGGAATGAACAGCTGGTCTGCCATAATATTGATAAAACTCAAAAACATTATACTGTGCAAAAGTTACAAGACTCACAAAAGTGCACACTGTGTGATTCTGTTTACAGAATATTCTAAAACCAGCAAAACTCATCTCTGTTGATAGTAGGTTAGTGGCTGCCTCGTTCTTGGGATGAACCGCAAAGGTACATCAGCAAACATTTTATGGTGTTGGAAATATTTTATATTTTTAGTCAATTTTATATCTTGACTGTCGCTCTTCAGGAACAAAACCTAAATTTCACCAGCCATCATAGTGCAGTCCCTATATTCTCTTCTATATGTATTTCTAATAGTCCTAAGGGTAGAATATTTTGGTGACAAGATAGAATACGTTCAATTCTCCCCAAACTTTCAGTCTTCTTTCTGTCCCAAAATGGAAGGAACCCTTTTGTTACCTGCATTTCATCTTGCATAATTTTGTTTTGAGAGCTGATAGACAGGACCAGAGCTATATATTTAAGCCCATCCAGAAGAGTTTAATCCTGTATTAAACAGGATTATTCTCTTCACATTTTTTCCCCTTTTCATTTCTTTGTATTCTACTTCCTCTCTGTTCTCAATCCCTTTTCCCTTCACAGTGTGCCTGTCAGAAGGAACGTGGTGTTAATCCTGAAACAGCTTGTAGGAAGTCAGCTATTTCTCTGTAGTTTGTTAACATATTTACTGAAAGAGACTATGAAATCAGTTGAAAATTTTCTGCTGAGGACAGTTTTGAGAAAGAAACTGTTTCCTGCTACCCTAATACTAGCATAATAGCATTACCATCTTCAATTTTGATGACAACGTTCTGAGCGCCTTTTAACTTTATTTTCCTCTTTTTCTTTTGTTCGGTGTGTGTATGTTTGTGTGTGTGGGGGGGTGGTGGTGTAGGTGTGCCTGTGACTATGATTGCCACTGAGAGAGGAAACAGTTTTTGTTCTCGTTTCAGTAACCCATTTAAAACACAGCTTTCTTATCTTTAATTTCATCACCTTTAAGACAGTCTTTCTAAACACAGGATCATCGAGACAGAATGACTTAAATCATGCCTTTTAATCAATTAATATTCTTATCTCCCATGGCCCTGGAAGGATGCTAGTTAGGTGCTGCTCTTGAAACAATTGAAAAATAGCCTCTGGAATATTTTTTTGTTCGAATGTTTCGATGGGGCTCCCCTGTTGAGAAAGTCAGAATCTATGAGTTTGTTACTTCTTTACGGTTTAGTTAACTTCCTCCTTCTCTAGTAATGGTTTTGTTTTGTTTTTTTTTCATTTTACAGGAAGATATTGTGGTGAGAAGACAGCAGTTTGACTCATAGATGCGCTGTTAACTTTCATTTTGTTTTTCCAAAGTAGAGTAACCGTAGTGTGAAGCTGCTATAAAAAGAAAATAAATAGACAAATAATAAATTTAAAACTTTGAAGACAGGTTTTGGATGGGATGACACAAAGCTCCCCTGTAGTTACCCAGACTGCTGGCAGCAATCAAGGAACTGACGAAAAGAAACAAGGTAAGGACATTCACAATTGTTCAGAACAAAGGTTATTTATGAAAATTCTGACATGCAGTGTTAAACAAAGCCTTCAAAGGCATGAAGTGGATTTTGTTGCTTTTTTTCCCCATCAAGGCAGAAAAATCCTTTTTTGGGCTAACGTCTCCATAAAATGAAAATTGTGATGACAAAATTCAGATTTGCCATGGACTGTTTTGACTTCTTAAAGGGAGATCGACTTATCTGAACTGATAGTGGCGAGGGATTAACCACAGCTTAAACCTGTTCAAGATTTCATTTCATTTTTACTAAGTATTTAATAAAACCACTACTGGAGAAAATGTTAAATTTGATCCATGTCCACATTCAACATGCAGAATGCAGACACAATAGGAAAAGTCTGGCCAATTTTTCTCGTGTTTTAACAGTGAGTGGAGTCAAGATAAATTGGACTCTGGGGGTGCTTAAGAGCAGAAAGTAGCCTCCTCTCCCGCTCTCATTGAAACAATTGCTAGTGCTCGGACATCCTTGAAGATGTCTCTGGCAACCTTACACAAGATAAGAAAAGAAAATGTACCTAAAAAAAACAAGAACTAGAAAACCACTTGGGAGCTTTGGATGCACTAAATAGCAAGTTTGGAATATGTAAGATCTAAAGTCTAAATCTAGCAGAAAAAGCTTTCAAAGTTATTTCAACAGGGGTCATAAAAAAGGTGAAGAAGAGAGGCAATGAAACGAAAATGCAGTAAATACAACAATGGATGGTTTCGAGATGATGGTGGGTTTTGAACACTTGCCATTTAATTTCTTCCAACCTACTAGTTTATGCAGAAATCTAAAGTGCTGCAGTTCATAGTAGAATGCGTAAATACTTTATTCCTCTTTTTTTGACAATGTAATCATTTTGTCTAAGGTTAGATCAAAGAGGGTTGGGGACAATGGGATCAAATATAGCTGATCACATGAAAATATTGGAACCAAAAGTTTTACAGAAAGCTTTCTAGCCACTCATCCAATCAGTGTTAATTTCTATCTTACATCTCAAACAGTGTGAATTTACACATTTTATGTATAAATAAATTTTATATATTATGTATATTATGTATATGTACATAAATATATATAATCTATACATTATGTATATTATATATTACATATATTTTATGTATTATGTATATGTACAAAATATTATGTATATTCTGTAATTTACTACATAATATTATATATATTATATTTAACCTATATAGATGCATAATTTGAACTTCAAAACGCCCTTGTTAAATTTAGTGCGTGAGACAATTTATTTTTAAATATTTTATTTTTTCATTTTTCTTTTATTTTATTCGTTCCGCTTGTTGGTAATTTATGATTTTTTTCTATAGCTGTCAACTAGGGAAAAGGGAATTTTATTTGGTTTTACATTTATTGGTCACCCTAGATCTTTCCTCTTATCTCTCCTTGGAGAAAATTAGAGATGATTTTAGTATATGCGCTGCGGAAGACAGCTTGAAGATCGGGCTCAGAAACTGAAACTAATTACTTGAGTCCGTGAAACTTTTCTATGGGGAAAGTAATTGGAATCCTTAGCTGTTTAGATTACAATAAGGATGAGTGTAAAACTATTTTAGTTACATTTATTAATTAAATAGGTTTTTGCCGAGTTACCCTGGGATGTTATCTGTTTCTTACATTCCTTTGTTGAACAGACTATGAGGGCTGAGCAATTTCTTTGAAATTCATCTCTCAATACTAAATTCATAGCAGGAAGGAAACATTTTCAGGGGGTTTTTTGTTTGTTTTTTGGATAATTTGAGAGAGAAGGAACTTCTAAAATGAAAGCTATTTAAATTGAACGTAGAAAATTAGATTTTAGGGCTCAGGAAATGGAGAGATTAATTAGAGAATAAACAGGTAGCATGTTTAAATATGTACCTGCATGTTCAGAAGTGCAATAAATGTCCAATTCATTAGTGCCTTACATCAAACGAAATGCCACTCCAAGTCTCCATCCCGATGAGCTGGCAGGGCATTTAATCTTTGCCAATTGGTGGTATTGAGAAAGTTGGGGGGGGG